GAGAGTAGTATAGCGTAGAGTTGTGGGAGGGCGTTTAGTGTAAAATTAAGGGGCAGGTCTTGGAAAGCAGCCACAAAGTAACACAATGTTCCGGCTGTACTGTAGCTGTACCGCTGCCTCTGCTGACGAGAACACTGTGTTCCAATAGACACCCTGACCTGTAACCCGTTCCGTGCCGAGCCAGGCTGGGAACAGCGTGTACCGCAGCAGGCTGTCCTTCCCGCTCAGCTGACAACACATATCATCAACACTGCTGTGTAATAGCCGAGCCTTAGTCACACACGGGATGTGTAAAGCATCGAAATAAAAGCACATCCACTGCCCGATAAGACGCGCGCTGAGACGGATTACTGTTTCTGTAAGAGACGGTAAAACCCCACCTTTTCATTTTGTGTACCGGTTTTTTTTAGGATGTAACTATTACTGTTACGTTACTATAACTTATTTGAAAATGGTGATTTCGAAAAATTATCACAAATGTATGCTTATATAATTGCCTATGGTCCTTTTTTACCATTATTGTGATTTTCACTAGGTGAAGATCGTTTGTCTACGGCCGTGTTACAGTGTTAACACTTAAAAGTACTGCGGTGTTAAATATGTAAGCCTAAATGTACATTGAGAAACACTATGATGAAAAGGGAAGTCATCACATTTTACAAATAGTGGCAAGCACCCGTTTTGCTGTTAGTAGGCCTTTTACATACACATGATGGAAGGCTTCAATTTTTCTTTACAATTTTTATTTATACAACTATATTTTCATTTAATTTAAACTGGTAGTATAAAGGATATAACATAATAAAGACTCCATAAATGTTACTACCTCACAGGGACTCTGTAACTCTGCTCAAGTTACCCAGTGATGCCAACAAATATACAGTATATTGGAACATGATACAAAAACAGTGGATGAGTTTTGTGTAGATGTAGATGTCATTTCCACAATGTAATATGTTAAATCAAAAATAAATATTTCAAGTTAGCCAAATATTACTCAAAGTTAATATTTCCAAACAGAGGACTTTACATCTGTTATTGAGGATATTTGCCTCAAATTGATATCAGATATGAGACCTATATGAAATTCACATTTTACACAATTTTAATTTAGACTAATAATATGCAACTTTCATTAATATGTCTAAAAATGGCTGGACCTGTGACCTATTTGAGCTGTGTAATTAAATGATCCCAAATGTTGCCAATAATTTACAAACACAGATAAACATGTACTATTTTTCAAGGTTTCAATGGTCCGTTTCATTTGGTCAATGGTCAATGGCCTCATAGCCTCTTTACCCCCTTTAGTTGCTCTTACTTCCAGAAAAAATGTATCACAGTTTTTTAAGAGTTTTTTAAGAAGACAACTTAAATTGTAAATGTTGTTTATTTCGTATAAGGTTAAGTTCCACACAGCAGGTTTGGGTTGTATTTTTGCTTTAATCCCCTATCATGATCCAAGGATTGTTGACTTTTCAAGGTTATTCTCTGACAAACACACCTGGCACCAGAGGGTTGTCAATATGCCAATGTAGTAATAAGACAAAGGAGGCCTGGAGGAAGATGTGAGTTACAGAACACAGCTTGTCTCAACAGAAAAAAGCTGAATATATAAGTATTGATCAAATCCTAATATCAATTATTCTGTCAGTTCAAATATGAAATGTATAATACAACATGAAAATATTTGAATCTGCTCATGTGTCTGCTTTTGTATAAATGAAGAGCATGAGATGTTAAAAAAATTAAAAATATGTTCAGAATGTATTCTGAGGATACTGCTATATTATTATGTACTCATAAGATGTTTGCAATACCGCCCACTTTACAGCTGCTGTTTATGTTCAGCATATTGTTGCATTAAAATAACAAAACAACTTGAACATGTGGCACAGTTTATTGGTCTGCACGGATGGTTAAATATGTATTGCAGGCTTCTGGTGGGTGAATCCTGCAGTCAAGAGGTGGTCAGGACACTGTCTGACCACACTGCTGGCAGACAGCCAGGCAGCTATAGAAGGGAACATCATGATTATAAAGGTTACATAACACAGGTGAACCCGATTGTGCAAACCCACAGGGATGTTATCAACAGGCTGAGTAATCTCTCGAACAATCAGTTATCTGAAGAAAACAGATTTCACACACTGTCTTTTTAGAACATTTCTTTCACATTAGAAGAGATAGTACAGTCACATATTAACAGCTGTGTTGAGCCGATAACATAATAAGCCCTCATAATGCAACAAAGTATTCACAATAAAATACAAAAATATTTTATAAAAAGCTCATCAGGGCTCTAGCTCAGGCAAGCAGAGATTTGTTTGTTTTCCCAAACCGTGTCTGTGCTGCGGTGTCCTGCTTTGTTTGCACTTCCTCTTGTCTTGTATGTGCAAGAGGAGGTTAAAAAGGAACTCAGCTGACCTGAGCTGAACTGAAATGTATGAATACATTTCTTTATTGACTCAAGGCCTGATGTTGTCATTCTTCCTGAAACATCATGAACATCTTGTTTATGTTGTGATGAAAGCAGCAACCTAGTAAACAAGAACGTCAGAAAATGATGAAGTTAATAGTTAAGTCAACCTTTTTAAGTAATGAACATATTTACATACCTATTTCTTTTTTCAGCTTTAGAGTCTCCTATTGCTCTTAATAAAGTAAATACTCTCTGAAAAAGTATTTGCTAAATGTATTAACAAATAAACAGCAGGTCTTTCTTGATCATTTACATTTACTAAATATTGTATAAGTACTCAAATCTGAGAGGCAGTTGCAAGAAAGTGTGTGTCTCTGAATGAGTGTCTTGGTGTAACCAGAAGCACGTGGGTGAGTTCATTTAGGGATACAAGCTGCACAGTCATCAGGAAGTGAAACAGAACAGAATGTGCTGTACTAATCTGATTGAAAAACACAGCCCTGAGTGGAGGCATGAAAAAAAGAAAAGACGTTTCATTTAAACAGCTTAAAGGGGAATCATTTGGCAGCAGGAGCATGTCTACAAAGACAACAAATGAGCTTGATTCTTCATTTGGTGATATAAAAGACAAGTGGTGAGGATCAGGTAAGAAAAGCACACAAACACTGAAACTAAAATAAGGCTGGGCAACCTAATGCTCTTTGTTTGTGTTCTAGGCATCCGTGTTGCGTACATGGCAGTAATCTCCTGAGTGATCCCTTTTATCCCTGAACTTTTACCCCCTGAAGCAAGTACTGCCGTGTCTGCCAAGGACCTTAAATAAATGATTTCTCACTGCCGCTGATGAAGAGAAACACAGTGTAACAGAGACTAAAAGAACATATTGTTGAAACAGTTAAACCCTAAATATTTATATTTGGACAAGAGTTATTGCTCATTTTATTCCCTTGAACAATCAGTTATGATGAATGACTTGTCAGTGGTGAAAAAAGATATTCAGATATTTAGATAGGTAGTGTTGCAATAACAACTTGGAAAAATACGGCATTACAAATTAAAGTCAGATATTGGAAATTTCAAAGGAAAGAAAACATGCTGGTTTCAAACTTGAATTTGATTATTAGACAATTTAATCAAAACACAAGGGCTTTACTTTAAACTGTAACAGCTCTCTTTCATTTCACAGCTCTTTCACCTACCCTGCCATATTCAGTGTAACGATTCATCATTAAATTACCTTTCATCAGTCACACAAAAGTCTATCACATTGCAATTCCATACTAATCATTCAAAAACGGCTGAGGCAAGTTTGAGTGAAAGCATGATAACTAATTTGACATACCACACACAATGGCATAGTGTGCCTTATCCAAACTTATCAAAGGGTGACATTGCAAAGTAATAACAACAAACAAGAGACACATATCTTTGGTTTACTAAAAGAGGATCCTTCAAAACAAAGTCATCCGCACCATTACCAACTCTACAATGTGTGTGATTAAAGATATATTCAAGGCTATTGCTGTAGTATTAGATGGAAATTAAAAGGTGAGAGTAACAAATCACTATCAACTACAACTATATGCAGGTGTCCCTTCAACATGGAATTGAAGATTAAATAAACAATTTCCTCGTCTAATTTTTCAATTTTGTGATATTAGGGTTGAGAACTTCAGGGTCAGAGAGGTAAAAATACTTCTGCTTTTCACACCTCTTCCCCTGCTTGTTGAATATGCCTCTATACGGGAAGTGTACATAAAGTATCTAACCACCCACCTGAACACTCACAAAGGGTCATTTGTGGTGTTTTCTCATGTTGAGCAATAACCGTCTTGCTCTCTTGATTTACTTGTGTTTCCTGCAGTAATCACTAAATGGCAGGCAGTAACTGTAAAACTTCAAGAATAAAGTTTGGGTTTCCTGTCAATGTGAAACAGTACAGCTTATTGATGTACTGGCTGCCTTTTTGCAAAATCATATAAATATGGCTGTGAATTTTTTTTATCAGGCTCACTATTTAGACCATGGATATTAGTGATTGGATATTTAAAATCTCAACAATTAAAACCTCTCCAGATGGACGTTGGGAAAAGTTTTTAGATCATTAACTTGGATAAAAGAATCAGTACAAAAATGTTTTTAAAAAGTTATTAATTTGAAGAAGAGACAATAATATATATTATAAGCTGAATTCCATTTGCCCTGATATTAAAAAATAACATATTTTAAGGGGAAAATGTGTTTAAAATACAAACAAGGGTCACATGCTCCTCACAACGGCTCACAACATCTGGGGGTCATACTTTAGTTCTGCTCCATAAATTGAGATTCATTTTCCCTATTGTCTCTAAATTCAGCTTTTCATGGGAAATGTTGGATAGTTT